ATCTCAGAACGAGCTTGTAAAGTAGATGGACAAGAAATCAGACATCGTTGGTACTGACACAACTGTATCGATCATTCTTCCAACAACCTTAAAAAGAATACATTGTTCTTATCTTGTTTCCACTGGTATTCACTTCATCACGCGTTTGATAAAGTCGATTGACGCATGAATTGCTGGGGAGTCAAGGCGTTGCCTTGCAGGTGATAAAATGATCCCTCGTTTTGGTTTTCTGGGAGTTGTTGTGGCTTCTTGCCTCTTCAGTTTCCGAGGTTGTGCAAAATAAACAAACAGTAGGAGACTGGTTTCTCCGAGGTGGACCTCAGCCTAAACCTCGCTTAAAACGCATCCATTGTGCATACAAGAGCCCGTCCATCCCGTCCTTAATTCACACAAGCCCAATTTCAAAGTTCTATGTGATTCGTTTTTGGTCGAGGAAGTTAGTTGTAAGTGAAAGGTGCCGACCAGCACAAAAGGTGAAGGGACCATTGCGCCACCTCAAACTTTAGGCTTAAAAAAATACCCAATCTCCATAGGGAGATGGAAACCTAGGACTCGCAGCTAATTGGCTGGGAGCCCAATCAGCCCACCTTATTATATTGCCTAATGCTTGTCTTCCTCGTAGTTTAGTTTTTTAAGTTTTTCGGATTAGGCTATGTTCAGGGGAGGAAAATCATTACACAACCAAACGAACATTTACAAGTTATCAACCTTTTATTTTGTAGAATTTTACAAACAATATTCTCGCCTCCCTGGGTTGATTAAGAAACTCCCAATTCCGAAATGGGCCTCCAGCTCCAAACTTGTGGCCTCCATTTATAAACTGCAAATCCGACTACTAATAAGTTTGAATAAAATTCAAACAACCGTTTAGTTCGTCTCAGATTGGCGAGGCTACTGTGCATTTAATAGAATTCGCTGGCCTCTATGATAATAGGCTCTATCACGGCTTAATAAAAAAACTTTTGAGACCCAAAATCATTTTCACCCAATCATGTTGAAAGACCTAGAAGTTCAATAAAATTACACTAGCTGTGATTATTTCGTTTAACTTCTTGCCGTGCTACGTGGCATTACTCATTTCTTTAGCATTTACCCGGTCGTCATGTTCAATCTGTCCTCCTAGTAGCATAACAAGGCCAGACAGGGACACCCTAACTGGACATCCACAATAAAGCAGATTGGTGAAGCAAAATTCACTGGAGAATCAATGTTACAGAAGATTCAGCCAAGCAGAGGCAAAAGTCATGAATGGCATTGCCCTCCGGCCTGGAACATATACCATAAAACACCTACAAATTTCTGAAAGCTTTCAATTTTAGGTTTAACACATCATGAAGAGAATGGGAAGAAGCTCTCAACAACAAATTATGCTTCTTCAATTGCTAAAGAGATGAATAAGCAGTCCAGCACTATTGTAAACAATTCATGCCGCATGCAAACGTTTTATTTCAACATACACACCAACCAAATCAATTTTTTTATGTTACTTAAGGAACGATTATGAAACCATGGACCACTGTGAAGGGTTATATTAACCAACCCGATAAATTGTCCCTATAGTCTCCGCCTATTGAATTTCACAATCATGAAATTGAAGCACCATAAGCATATTCTGAAGCCCCAGTGCTTCCAAGTAAGACATTCCCACCTTCCTGCCCAACTTATTTCTTTTCCCATTTTTTGTTTCGTTTCCTCCCTTAATGGTTTGCTACTAGCTTATATCTGTCAGGGAAAAAATAGTAAAGTTTTGATGATACAAAGAGAAATGTGAAAGATTAATCAGCACCTGTATCCTCAGCAGTTTTCTTATATTCTGGTTTTAGCTCATAAGTTCCTTGGTTTGTTCCCCGCTTATTATACACACAAAGCTCATTCAGTATCTCTTTCAAGAATTGCTGCACTCAATAGAAAACAACAAAAAAATTTGGCACGTGAATACCCTGGAAAAAAATATTTTGCTATAATAATAAACACAGTCGATTTGACAATCATCCTTCTCAGATAAAAAAATAAATAAAAAGGAAAAGCCTATCATCTATATCAGCCTGAGTAGAAAAGCATACCGCAGGTTGATCTGTTTCTTGAACAAGCTGCTTTAAGGCCCAATTTGGTTGCCTTTCAAATAACTTGAACATGATATCCTCCAATTCACCACGATCCCTCCTGGTTCTCTTCACATCTGATTGTTTAACTGGTTGTGTTCTCTTCTTATCCTGCTCGCATATAATTGATAATAAAGATTAAAGAGGTTTATTCTTAAAAGCAGAAAGCATGGGTCTTTGGCTAAAAAAGGACCACCATTATACTTGAGAGAAGAAGTGTGCACAGAGGAAAACACTGCTCAGACAGTATAGATGTTATCTATTCCCATTACTATGAAATGTTATTATTCATAACTCCATTTAAAGCAGATTAAACAAGAACTAATTTACAAACATCCTAAACGTATCCAATGGAGAAAGGGAATATACCTTGGAGGTAGATGAAATCAAGCCAACCATTCCAGGCATGGGCCTCATGTGCACCCCCCGGTCATTATCAATCACCTTTAAAAGCAATCGAGGCAAAAGTTATGTTATATGCATGAGTTTGAAAATAGCAAAGTAGTTAACAATCCAATCCTCTACCCTTATCTGCCTATTCTTGATCATAGACTTTTTTGTCCTGTCGCGGCATAATTTACTATATTCCTCAATGTTTTCCTCGTGAGGCTTCATGTCAAATTTATGTTCCACTTTTCCTTCCACGGAAACCCTCCCTATAAATAATTGAAAAGATCATAAAAAAATCAAAATCAAGAAGTAAATAACAATGGTATGAAGAAAAGTAAATATGACAATGCAGAACATAAGATCATGGATTATATCAAAGACGTGTAGGATGCATCTGTTTGAAACATCCTATTTGAATACTCGTGATTCATGAACTACAAGTACCTTCAAGAGTGTTATGTTCATATACAATAAACATGCATAGAGCCACTTGACAACCATGATACAGGGTAATTCATGAGGAGAAGGCAAAACAATAATGCAGGCCAGGTATCAAAGTTTATTTAAGACAAAGTAAAATCTTATTCTGCTCCAACTTCTATAACACTTTCGGGAAGCAGCAACTGCTGTTGAAGAAACCCTTGTGTTATTCCTCCAAGATGCAAAACACAGAAAGAACAAAAATCAAGCTTCAGAGAATCACTTTAAAACAAGTTAATATTCAAGATAATCTGGTGTTTACTCAAGAATATTACGGTCCCATTTTCTAGTAAAGATTAGATCAACACGATTATTGAAAGTAACTATGATTCACAGGGCAACGTTGAAAACTGAACATGTGAAGACAACGCACAAGTCCATCACTGACGAACACTCTCAAGAACTAAGTATAAGAATTTATCTTCCCCAGCCAAAACTTGCAAAGAACAGAGTGGCGTTTCACGATTTTCTTCAACAATTTTATTGTACATAGAACGAGAAGTCCCTTGTTCATATTTCTGCGAGTTGCAATGTTCAACGGTAGTCTTCATGTCAATGCAAAACACTTGAGTTCATAATAACAAATGACAAAAGATCATTATTGTAAATTAAGGTAAATTACAAAGGATTCAAAAATAAACACCCATCAACACCAGTGAAAGGGCTCACCAATTAAAGGATCGCACAATTTTTTACGCATGGAAAAAATCATGTTCATTAAAAAGAAAAATCATCCACAAACCAGATCCTCCTCACCTTGAGGTGTCTCCGAAAAGACACCCATTGGAACAAAGTCCTTAAACATATTCAAAGAATAACTCTTCGGCACATTCCCAGTCTCAGTGCGAGCCATCTCCATAGTGAACTGATTACCATTTAAAACATGCAAGAGAGATGAAACGTTGAATAACATATCATTCAACAACAATCAACCAGACAAAAACTAAATATTTTAACCTAATATCGCAGTTAAAATCAACAGATCCAACCAAAAATAGGCCGCTGAGTAAAATAAACCAGGGTTAGAAGAGTTAAGAAATAGTCACCAGTGACCATCAAATAGGCGAAACCTGATTAGGAAAGATATTTCAAAAATCAAAAGAGTTGCGTGCAGATTGAGACGAGAAAAAGTACCTGAAGAGCAGAGGGATCGTCAGATTGGAGAGGATCGAGGGAGAGAACCACTTTAGCGATCGGAGCGGATTCTGAAGAAGAGGTATGATGACTTTTCCATGACTTGGCTACCACTACTGGACACTTCATTAGCCAAACAGCTTTATCAGCCTTCGATGTTTCTAAATTACCGCTGCTGCCGCCATTTCCACCATTACTGTTATCTTCTTCCATTTCTTTGTTTTCTTTTTTCGCTTTGTTTTTTGATGTCCAGTTTTTGGAATTCAGTTTTATAGACTTTGTTTTTTGTTTTGGAGAGCTTTTACCGCTTTGCTTTCTAGTTTCTAGTCTTTGTCTTGTCTTCTGCTCTCGAGAAAGCCTTCTTTCGCGGACAGTGTCGTCTTATATACTGAGGGCTGACCCGGACAAACAATTCTCAAACCTGGCTCGAATTGGCATACGCGTACGCTGATCATCGGAGATGCTTTTTATCTGACGGCTACTTTTTCTGCCTTGTTTGACTTCTAATTGCCTAGACAAAATAGCATCACATCTAACCCAAAGACTGTGGGCTTTAGCCCTCCACGGCCCATTTGTTTTTGTGGTTGTAAAGAGTAGATATTAAAAAAATATTTTTTTCGAAAATCATTTAGAAATAAAAAATAAAAACTAATTCAAAAAATAGCTACAACAGGGATGCATCCTCATTGACTGCACAATTGATGGCAGATTTTCAGTGTCTTTCCAATAGAAATTCAAGCTAACGACTGGTCATTCATAACAAAACAAGGGAACGATTCAGGTTCTAACAGGGGCAAATTAACAAGCAGGTAGAATGCAAAGCACTTAAGCACGTTTTCCATTTGCATTTAAAACGATTACATCTTTGAGTACTGAAATCAAGATCAGTAGATAAGGAAGTGATACTAGTAGTGGATCTAGCCAGATCTATGCTTCCGTAGAAATTAGCAACAAAGAAAACGATAAACCCTAAAAACATGAGACCAAGACAATATTAACAAGCCACACAACTTAAGCCCTTTCGCCCCTGATCCTTCTAGCCAACTGGATATCCTTGGGCATGATTGTAACCCTCTTGGCATGAATAGCACACAGATTTGTGTCCTCGAAGAGACCCACGAGATAAGCCTCGGCTGCTTCTTGAAGAGCTGCGACAGCACTGCTCTGGAACCTGAGATCGGTCTTGAAATCCTGAGCAATTTCTCTTACGAGCCTTTGGAAGGGAAGCTTGCGGATCAAGAGCTCGGTACTCTTTTGGTACTTCCTGATTTCTCTCAAAGCCACAGTTCCAGGCCTGAAACGATGGGGTTTCTTCACACCTCCGGTTGCTGGAGCAGATTTGCGGGCAGCCTTTGTTGCCAGCTGCTTACGAGGAGCCTTGCCTCCGGTGGATTTTCTTGCAGTCTGCTTGGTACGGGCCATTGAAAGAGATTTGCAAGTAAAAGAAGAGAATTTGTTTTTTGCTTTTGCTTGCCGAGAAGACGATGCACATAGCTAAGATTTGGGGGTAATTTAAAGGGTAGACATGGGTAGGCGGGAATTTGAAATTGAAGTGGTTCTTTGGAGGGATTTGGAAAGGAGAAAAAACGCGGATAGTGGATGTGAGCCGTTGATTAATAAGTTATCGACGAGTAGTAAGGTTTGGGAAATCGTGACGCGGATTGCGATCCGCATGCTTTTTGAGTGGACCAATGGGAGATGTTTCTAAGGCGGGATATTGTTTTTTGTGTTTTTAAAAGGCGCGAAATTCTGAACCGTGGATTGATGTACAATGGACGGTGGATATTTGGTGAAGGGAGTGGCACGGAATCGCCATCTGTCAGGGCGTGTGTGGCTGGCTAGTAGTTTATGCTTCGTGTAATTAAGATTTTAATTTATGAAAAAACTCATCTGTCAGGGCGCGTGTGGCTGGCTAGTAGTTTATGCTTCGTGTAATTAAGATTTTAATTTATGAAAAAACTCCTCTTTGATAAAAAAATTTTTATCAATAATCATCGCATTATCCAATTTCAAACTTATGTTAATTGCAGCATATATACACTAATCAATGACCCTGGCAAGTGGATAGAAACTCATTACCGTGATTCTTTCCGCCAATAACCTAATTGATTGCTCTTCGCAAATGAAAATATAATTACATAGTCTGGAGTCTTCTTTCTTGATAATACATTTGATAGAAGGAATTCTCTCGCGACTATTATTATTGGCATGACAATGACATCAGCATTTGTGTTTTAGCAATACAGAAGCGTTTTTTAAAAGATTAAAAAAATTAATTCAGATTATTTTTTGTTTGTCTTTAAATAGTTTTAATACTTTGATATCATAAATAAATTTTTAAAAATATATATTATTTTAAAATATTACTAAATAAAAAACACTTTAAAAATAATTATTATTTCAGTGCTAAATATACCGTCTTCTTTAGATAAGTCATGCAGAATGGGGATTGACAACTTTAATATAGAAATAAAGTCTAACACGGTAATTACACCTGGATGTAAAAAAATAAATAAAAATATTATTATAATATATTTTTAATTAAAAAGTAGTTTTGAAAGCATCATTTACCACAATATTAGATACACAATAAATTAGAAACGTAGATCAAAAGTACAAAAAAAAAATAAAAAACTAAAAAAATGAAAAAATGAAAATCATTAACAAATATGTTGATAAAACCAATATTTTATTGGTATATTTTTATATGTTTTTATTGAAAAAATATACAAATATAATTTTTCCAAACATAAACATGTTTTAATAGAGCCACGTCAGGTTCGATGCTAGCCAAACTTAGCCACGATTAGGCTTGGTAGTGTACCAAACTCCGAGAGCGTTGGGTTTTACTCTTCCAAACCCATGACAAGGACGAACAACGGCTGCTGAACTCGAGTGTCGAGTCTGGTAAATGACATCAAACCTAGAGCTAACATGGCTATGGGGTTTGATAAGTGTTGTCAAGCCTATTAGCTTTGCCTCATGCGTTGATGGGCTAGCAAGATAGGCCTGGCGCGTGTGTCGCATCAGGTATCAAGCCGGTGTTTTTCGTAATCGAGTATAGTCGGATTTGTTACACCAACGAATTAAAACACGATACTTGAATTTAATGTCATAAATTTTATTGATTTTTATATAAAATTTTAAAGTATTTATTTCTTAACAAATAAGCCTGGTTAGACAATTTTACACGTCACTAATACTATTAAATGTATTAAAGTATTTTTTGATCCATCATATCTCTATATTTTTGTTTGATAAAATAAGTGAAATACAATTCACAATACAGCTCAAAATATTATGTAGATGAAATTACACTTTAATCTTCACTCTCCATGAAAAAAAATGACTTGTTAATTATAAATACATCACAATATCTTTAAAATAAAGGTTCGTGATTTTTATTTTTTACTACATATATATATTTTTAAATAATTTCTTTATAAAAAAAGTTATTTAAGCATCAAAGGGTCTTCACTTTAACTAAAATAATCATTTATTCGTGCTAGTTACAAACCATCTTGACCTATAAAGCATAAAATATAAATCATCAATTATCTAAGTTGTAAATAGTAAATAAAATTATTATTATTAATTATTCAATTCTGAAATACTATATACTATTTAAAATTTCGAGACTTCATCACAAACCTTTTTAAGGTAAGAAAATCCCTACATGCTGTCATGAAAATAAATCAACAGCGACATGTTTTATTCTGTTTGTCCGTCTCCTTTGTGGTTCCATATCTAATTGTTGTGACCTTAACTTCCAAACAAAGAATTATTCTAAAAACACAAATACACTTTCTCAATCTTTTATTTGTTTGTGGCTGTTGTGAAAGAAAAGCTGGCCAGACAACAGCACCATTTTTTATAAAAATTCAATTTTTTTATTAATTTTTTTTTTATATATTTTTGTTGTTTTAATATGCTGATTCTAAAAATATTTTTTATACTGAAATGTATTAAAAATTTTTTTAAAAATAACTATAATTACATAACCATACATACTGGTCTCATGTTACTTGTTTCAGGAGCTTAACCGAGAAGCCACGGCTAGGCTTGCAATTGTTGGGAATCTACTGCATGCTTTGAATTGTGAATAGTAATCAATTCAAACGGTTAGATGAATTATTGTGTTTTAAACTTTGTTGAGGGTGTTGGTTTGAATTCTAAATAAAATTTAATTTATAAAAAATATATAAAAGTAAATCAAACAGGAGACCCTCGTATTCACTAAAGCAGTCCATCTCGAAGCTGACATTGAAAAAAATATTCGAATGTTAATTTTTGCACTCTCTTTCTCTCTCTAACCCATTTCTTTCATCTCGAAAGCCTCTGGGGATACAATATTCTCTTTCTATGCCTGACGTCAATCCTGGTCAAGACATTCCTATATATTCCTCACATGGTATGTTATTAATCTTTTCTTTCCTTCTCGCATCCTTTTTTTTCGGGGGGTTTTGACCCTTTTTTTTTTTCCTTTCTTTTTTGCATCCTTTTTTTTCGGGGGGTTTTGACCCTTTTTTTTTTCCTTTCTTTTTTGTATGATTTCGCCCAGCCAGTTATGTGTGGATGGGTTTTTTTTATATATTATTAATACAGGTATTTAAATTAATTTATGTATATCTTAATTAATTTTACAGATTTTAAAATTAATAATCATGTAAATTTTTAATTATTTTAAAATTTATGAATTTCAAATTAATAATTTCTATAAAATAAATTTATATCTCAACTAATTAAATTACATGTCTAAAAAGGTATTTTTTTTTATATGCATGGATGAGAGTTTTTTTAATATATGTACGTGGATGATGGTTAATTAACGTGTGAGTGGATATAAATTAAAAGTAAGTATTTAAAATTACAGGTGCTATATAGAAATAAAAATCACTTAACAGCTATTGGTTCCACTTTTCAAGTGGAGTAATAACAAGTAGAGCCTGTCAACCAATTGAGTTCATTTATTAGACTGCTAGCGTAGTATCATCTACTTATCTAAGTTATCCTTGACATGTTTATGAGCTAGCCCTGTCAATACTCTCAATCAAGCATATTAAATTGTAGGTAAAATTAGACAATTTAAAACAACTGGTAATGCAAATAACACTAGACAAGTCTACCATATCTTATTTAAAGTGTTTATATTTTATGTTTTTTATTTTTTTATCATTGACTCGAGTATTCCATGCCCTTTTTAAAAAGCTAAATTATTTTCGTCTGGAATTCATGGCTACCCTTTTATGTAAACATTTCTTGATGATTGAACTTGTGTTTTCACTATAATATAAACATGGTAATATCTTAATTGTTAAATCAATATAAACATGGTAATATCTTAATTGTTAAATCAATATAAACATGGTAGTATCCTTAACATGGTACTTGGATGCTTTAAGAGTCGAAATAATGCGTGTCCGAATGAATCTATATACGACGAGAGACAGCCAACATGTTTCAGCCCTTGTAGTAGTATAGAGAACGAGGTCACCTTGGAAGTTGAGTTTAGTTTTGTGGTTTAGCATTTTATTACAGAGACAGGAATTGTTACAAGTTATTAATTAAATTCAAATTTATTTATGCATTGAATTTAATTAAACATGCAATTTAATTTATAACAAAGCGCTAATCCCATTGCATGTGAATTAGATTTCGTAAACAAATAATTATACTAAATACACAAACAAATGCATAAAATAAATTGATCACAAGAACTTCAAATTTACATGAAAATACCCACACGTGTCGTGAAGGGGAAAAGGACATAAGGCTAACATTGAGATAATTCATCATAATCAAGAAGGCAACACGATCACTAATTCTTTTATGATCTTGAAAAGTAAAATACTGACGACAATACAACTACTTTTTTCACTTAAAAGTGTAATTATAGTTATTTTCTAAATAATTTTTCATGTTAAAATAAATATTAATAATTTTTTATTTTTTAAAAATTATTTTTAATATTAATGCATCAAAATAATTTAAAAAATATTAAAAAAATATTAATTTAAAGTAAAAAAAAAATAATTTTTAAAATTTTTTTATCATAAACATTTTTAAAACATAATAAATTTGATGTTGCTTAAAAAAAAACAGTTTTACTTTCTTACAACACCTCCATGAATGCACACATATATCCTTTCATCCCTTCAGGATTTTTTTTTCTTTTTAATCTAACTTATTTCCATATCATAGCAAAACAAGGTAAAATAATTCATTTTACATGAAAAAATATTTCTCTAAAAAAGATGTCACGCAAAATCAATGCCCCCTTTAATCTAGCAAACATCTCGTCCTCTATGCATGTACTTGGCTGCATACAATATAAGATTTGGAGTTTTGAATTTTACAGTGGCCTGTCCTTCAATATCCCTTCTGGTGCAAGTGTTGGCATTAAAAGGGGTATATGAATTCAAAAACCAATTTGAAAAGTAATTTGTAATGCAAAAATAAGTATTTGCTCGAGTTTTGTTTGTGAGTGCGTATAATATAT